TATTAAGCTTGTTACCAGCAGTATGGTGGCCTGCCCAAGTGGCAGTAATACATGCCCTGGACATCAAAAAGGTAACTGAATTGAGGCATGAGGTAATAGGGCCATCGACTTAGCAGCAAAGCAAGCAGAGATTTACTTCCAAAGGTGCGAGTAATATTGGTACCACTTCTCTTGCTGCCCAAGTACTTGGAGACAGAGTTAACATGGGCCAAGTCAGAAGGAGCATCAGAAAGACGTGGAAACAAATTTTGCCGGAGGAAAAGTATTCCTACTAGAGTGAATGGGACATTCTGTGATTCAAAAACCATACAGCAAAACCCATTTGGGCAAGACAGCTACAGCAGAACTGCTTGGCTGCTACATTGGTATATCTAGACTTTGGACCCTGTGTGCCTCATTGGCTAATACATGTGTGACTTATGCTAATCGCAACTCAGTTTCTTGCCCACAGTGGGAGCCAGACTTCTGTGGATGGGAAACCCTCCCTTTTGAGGACATTTCACTGAACTCAAGCCTACAACTGGAAACAGGAAGTATTTATTGGTGCTTATTTTCACCTACTCAGGATAGTTGGAGGCCCTGCCAACAAAAACTGTGAGACCTCTAGAGAGGTGGTGAAAGCATCAATGGATAAGAGAGAGGATCTCATAAAGAACACAAGTATTCAGTTTTATGATACTTCTTAACATGATTTGTTGGACTATTTGTGTGTCTTTCATCAACCTGACTAAATGGGTACTGGAAATACCCAGGACACCATCTTCTGTGGTATAAATTGTACACTGTGTTCTTGTGTTGCATTCAATATGTTTTGTATCATTTACTTTTTTATAAATTAAGATCTATGAAAAGTATTATGTGAGCAAACTGGCATCAGATAACAATTTTCTACCTACAGAGGAGATGGGCTGTGTTCAAGGAGGTATATCTATAGACAAATTCTTCTACATGTAGAATCTTTCCCTCAACAAATTATAATTTTCCAAGACACTCTTGGCAGAAAGCTGAGTGTCATTAATGTTATTCAGTAATAAAGTATTTAGAATTGTTGGTCCTTTAAACACTTCAAGGGTATCCAGTGTCAGGTTATTACTTTCATACTGTTATTGGGGACACAAGGATTTCTCATTTAAAGAACGTGTTTCACTTGATCGTGGTGTATGGACTTCTGTCGGCTTTAGATTGGCATGAGTCCTTTAAATAGGACTGGCAGCCTGCAGTGTGTTGCTATTTTTCCTGCAGTGCTTCTTTAGCCTTGTTTTGTGTTAAAGGTATTATTGTTTGTGTCTGGATGCTCCCTCCCCTGACAAAAAAGCCTCATGCCATCATGGGGCACAGGCTGTTTGGGGAAGCTGAATCTGGAATTCTGACTGATCCATGGTCCACTGCTGGGATTAAGAGTGTGAGTGCTACACCCTCCGTAGGGCCAGTCACCTAATACGATACGATAGGCTGAAAGAGGCTTGCTCCTTCTCTCCCATGTTGCTTTTCTTATCTTCTGCCCACCATGAATTGCTTTCTTCTATGAAGCCGCCCTGCCATAGTTACCCAGCCAATATGAACTGAAACTACTACAAACTGAGCTAAATAAAACTTTCCTTCTTTAGCTTTGGGTGTCAGCTATTTTTGTTTCAGCGATGAGAAAAGTAAAAAAGGCATTAAACATATGACCTTCCTTCTCCAATATCTCTAGTCCTCATTTCTGAGTAAGCTGTATCTACAGCCACAAGACTGGGCAAATGCAGTATTCATGAGTAGGTGGTGCTCAGTGCAGTTAGACCCTTGTCATGGCTTTGAGTTTTTGCAAGGGGAACAATATAATACAAGACACATTTTAAAAGATTGTTTTATAATCATCCAAAGAATCATATACATAGAGTGCAGGAAATGTGTCTACATACTAAAGACTGAAGAATCCAGTTGAGGGCTTGAATCTTAATATCCTACATGAGTCCAGCTGAAAACCTAGAGCTCCTAACAGTGCCTCCCTCAAGTTCAATTAGAAGCCTACCGCCCATGGCAATGTCTCATGCGGGCCTGCTTTAGGGATCTGTGCTGGGAAGGCCCAACAGGGAGTGGCAGAAGCTAGAAAGTCTGTGCCAGCAGGGTGAAGGACCTGTGCCACCATGCTGAGGGGTCTGCACTGGAGCCAGGAAGCCATGCTCAAGGCAAGCACCAGAGAAGCCCCTGAAAAGTACCACAGCCATCCTCAGCAACAGCAAGGTCCCGAGCTCCTCTGAAGATGAGGAAAGTTGAGTTCCCATCAGGAAAACCAACGCAACAAGCTTCTCCAGGGGGCTGAGTTGTGCACCATTTTCCCCTCTGGTGCAGGAAATGATAGTCAAGACGAGGGCCAGAGCTCCTCCAAAGTGAACCATAGCCATCCTAGTGATGAGGTGCTGAGCTCCTCTGATGAGAACCACCAAGTTCACCAGGAAGGCCAGCGTGACAAGGTCCTCCACGGGAACCAACATCTCCTTATAGTTCTGACGACACTCAGCAGCTTCCCTCCCAGCCTCCCAACAGCTTCTCCAGGTCTGCCTCATGCTGCTGGCAGTAATCCTCAGCTAGGCCTACCACATCAACACCATGCTAGTTCAGGTCAGCTGGGCGTAACAAGGTGACCGTCAGGTGGCAGTCCACAACCCTTTCTATGGAACATGGGGGAAAATAGATTTAAAAGAAACGTCATTGGAATAGCTTTGGAAACATGATGATTCTTCACATGGTATCTAAATTTGTGATGATCTCAGTCAAGCTCTTCATGAAGATCTTCTTTCCAATAACACTATTGTTAGGTCCTCACCATTAGGGCCCTCCCCGCCTAAGGGAAAACACTTCCACAAGCCAGTCTCTTCAAACAGGAAAGCTGCCTCACTGACCTGAGAATCGAAAATAAATCTGTTTACCAGGATGGCTCCCAGGCTTGGTGCTCAGGCTTACAGGAAACCCTGCAATTCTATAGAATGCCAATCTATCTGCAAATCAGCAAAATCCTCCTGTCACCTGTAATTATCCCACGTGCTTCTTGCCAGAGGTACCAGTCCCCGCAAGGGACCTCTATTTCTATAGAATGCCACCCTATATGTTAGCTACTGTCACCTGCACCTCCCCCAGGTGCTTTGTAATTAGAATGCCACTCTGTAAGTCAGCAGAATGTTATGCTCATCCTGTACTTTCCTCCCTCCAAAGAAGCACTAGAACACACTCATGACCCGTGAAAACCTTACAGTTTTCCATCGCCCTCAGTGATATACACCCTTCCATATTCAGGCTAGTGTTCAAAGCTGACTCTGTTCCTTTGAGGTCAACGGCTGTCTCGCCCTTGACCAGGCTACACCCAGCCTGAAAGAAAGCAGCACAGTATAGAAGCACAGCTCTGGGGTGTTCACTAGGAGTGAAGGCTGGAATCTGTCCCAGGCATTCTCAGCACTCAGCGTTCACCAGACCACCTCGACAGAGCTGCACGGTGTGGTAAGAACACATGTTCTTTGCAAATGAGAAGGCAACTGAGAGATGGAAATAAAGGCGAGGGAGCAGCGCAAAATAAGAATTATATGCGCAAAGTACTTGCACCAAATCCTGCGAAAAATATAATCTTTATGCACTGCAATCTTGTACTAATAAAAATTATGAAGCAAGCAAGCAAGCAAGCAAGCAAGCAAGCAAGCAAGCCTAGGCTCTGCTTTGATCACTGCGGAGGAAAGACATTCACCGCTGCTGCTTAGCGCCAGCTCCAGGTACAGGACGCTGTGTCCTCACCCACCTTACTAACGGGATCTGCACCTTGCGCTTTCTCTTAATTCAATGAGAAGAAAGATTTGTACTAATAGTGTTTGGACAGGATATGTCTGCGTCTTGTACTATGAATAACCACTACGCAGACAACAGTATGCAATGTATTATTGAAACTGTCTTACTAACCTGTTTTGAAACTGTTTCATTGCTTTTTGTTTCTCAATAAAATAATAATAACAAATATCAGCAGAGCCTCGGAGCTGCACTGGTCTTGTTTCTCCACGACACGGTGTGGCCTGCGTCAGGAACTAAGGAGCGACGACCTCCGTACTTTGCAGAACCCTTGGCCCCTCCACTTACTCCCATTTGCTCTGTCTGGTGGACTCAACTATGCAGTCCACAGGGCCGCCCAAGGCCTTCTCCACCTCCAGCTCAGGGCCCCTTGGCTCCAGGTGTCTCAGTCTCTAAAAGTGATCCCTTCCACTGGAGATTTGGGCGTGGTGGGACAAGTCCTTAATCCCAGCATTCTGGAGGGCTGAGGGAGGAGGGTCATACATTTCAGCTCAGCCTGGGCAATGCAGTGATGCCCTCTCACAATGACAAAAATAAAAGTAAATAAATGTGAACAAGGGACGGGGATGTAGCTCAGTGTGAACAATCGCCAGGCACAAACACACACGCACTCGTACACTGATTCCCCCAAACCCAGGCATCTATCCGCAGGCTCCCCCAAGAGGGCACACGCTTGGGTTCCCAGCACCGGCGCGGTGGAGTGGATCAATCGCTTTGGTGCTGGTGACGCCGGAACCGCGCAGTCACCGCATTACCCAGAAACCCTTGCAGTTACGACCCAGCGCCCCGCTCCCCGGGCTACCGAGGGGGCGGGACTTCCGCCTCCTCGCTGCGTATTGGCCGGGCTGGTGTCAATCCGGTGGCGGCCCTTCCTGTGTCTGGCGCGGACCGGGCGCGACAGATGGGCGCCGAGGGCGGGGCCGCAGGCCTGAGCGAGGAGTCCGCTCCCTGCGACGCCGAGTCGGTGGCGGTAGCTTCGCCGAGGGCGCGGCCCCGGTGAGCGCCGCTTTGCCGCCCGGAGGACGATGAGGAGGAGTTGCCCCCTCGTCCAGGAACCCGGGCCCTGGCGGCGCGGGCGGAGCAGGGCCGCTCGGTCCTGCGGGGCCGGGAGCAGTGCGGCGGGTGCGCTGCCGACCGAGGCGTCGTTCTGGGCGCGGAGGCGCGAGGCTGGACAGTCGGCCTGGGCCCGGGTACCCAGCTCTGGGGTAGCGCCAGAGTCCAGGGAGCTCCCTGGCCGCAGGACTCGCTGGGCTGGTTGTTCTCCAGGGTTCCTATGGCTGCTCAGTTGCCGCTGGAACCTGCGCAGGTAAGTGGAGGTGTCCCAGCCGCTCACGCTCCAGTCCGCCACCCACATTTTGCTCGGATACCTGGTGACTTTACACTAGGACCTGGGCAGTCAGCAAGGTCAGGGCCCTTTGTCCACACTCGGAGTTGCGTGGAGAAGTTCCCAGTTAGGGCCACCCAAGAGCTCACAGGCGCTCAGACACTAGTGTGCAGACCTGCTCAGAGGTGCGAGTGTTTAGGGAACTGTGCGCCATCCTTGACAACGAACTCCAGGCAGGAGGAGGCAGGAGGCAGGCTTGGAAGGAGTGCCTGTGAGGTTAGGCATCTACTGCGGGGCCAGGGAGTTTCGCAGCAGAGGAGGGAGAGTATCTTTTCCAGGTATTGACAGCTTCTGGTTGCAGAATGGAAAACAGTGAATGAGCATAGCCCATACTGCCGACCCCAGAGCGTGTCATTTCCTCAGGTTCGGGAGCTTGGGAGGAAGCTGGCCATGAGGGTGGATGTATGGGATGTGGCTTGTGGGTCTTCCGGACAACAGGCGCACTTATGGCTTCATTAGCCCCTGTCTTGGCAGGGTAGTGTCACCTTTGAAGATGTGGCTGTGTACTTCTCTTGGGAGGAGTGGGATCTTCTTGATGAGGCCCAGAGACACCTGTACCTTGATGTGATGCTGGAGAACTTGGCACTCATGTCCTCTCTGGGTAAGTCTTGTAAGCCCATTCTTGTGCTCTGAGTTAGAGTCTGCCTGGCTCCTTGTTAGGAGCAGCTTTGCCTGAGGGCTAGATCATGGGCATGGCTGCTTTTCTCAGTTCCCTGGGTAGGTGCTGGTGACCTGGAGCATGCCTGTTGCCCTCTCATCAATGCCTACTACTCTACAGCCTGGAGGTGAGGATTCAGGATCAGTAATCGTGGAATGAGCCTAAGAGATCATATCCAACTTGTCTTCTCGGTAACTCCGGACAAAAGGAGACAGGAAGTCTGTGCACACCAGCTTTTCTCCCTTCCGATACCTGACATTTATCCATTCCCAGCTATGGTGTAAAATCTCGCTGATGTTGTCAGTCTGATAAAGACTTGGGAGAACCCCTGCTAAGGTGCCCTTGGTTCATTTTTCTTTTCTGGGAAGATATATAACAAGGTTTATCACTTTGATAATTGTTAAGTGTACAGTTTAGTGGAACTTAGTACATTCTCCTTATTGTGCAGCTATTACCACTCTTCCATAAGTTTCTTTTCTCTTACAAAATTGAAACAAAATGTAAGTGCTTATTAAACAGTAATTCCCTTCATCCCCTGGCAACCCCCACAGTGTTCTTTGTGTCTCTCTACGTTTGACCTAAGTAGCTTCTATGAGTGGAAGCAGATGATAGCTGTTGTTTTGCATCTCGCTTGTTTAAACTCTTGGCATAGTATTTTCAAGGTATACCTATGTTGTGGGATGAGGCTCAGTGTCCCTTTCAGGCTTACATTCCTTCACAAGTATATACTGCATCATATTTGTCTATAATCCACCAGCATATGCTTACGTTGTTTTTACATTTATGATGTTGTAGGTCATGATGCTGTGAATATGGATACACAAATATTTTTCCACGTTCCTGTTTTCAGTTGCAATAGATACAAAAGTGGAGTTGTTGGATAATATAGTAATTCTGTTTTTAATTATTTTGGGAGCAGTCATACTATTTTTCCTTTCACTGCATCATATAGTGCTTTTTTACAGTGATGCACCAAGGTTCCACTTTTCCCACAGCTTTGTCAACATATATTTTCTATTGCTGTGGTTAATTGCCACCCAGATGTATGACAGTGCCTCACTGTGGTGGGGATTTGGATTTTCCTGTAGATTTGTGATACAGAATGATGTCAGGAGTGGAAATTGATCATATGTGGGAGGGAAAAACAAAACCTCAGTGCCTAGAGCAGCAGGCTACCTCAGTTTTAAGAAAAACATCCTACCTGGACAATTTTGGCTATTAGTTGCTAGGCAACCTTGTATCTCCTGACACTAACTTTGCAGAGTTATAAATAAATGCTCCTGTTGTTGTTCTCTGGCAAACACATCACCATTTCACCCAACTCTTGTCTGTTGTGTATCTTTTCCTTATTTCTGCTGCCTTTTCTCCCTAGGGTCCGCCAAGAGACCAAGTCCCTACAGAATGAGACAAATTAATTAGCTCTTTGTATGTCTTTGGAAAATTTCTATTCCAATCACTTGCCTGTTTTTTAATTTGCATAATTACTGTTGAGTTTTAGTAATTCTCTGTGTGGTTTGGATCAGATGTGCTCTTTATCAAAACTATGTGATTTGCAAATATTTACTCCCATTCTGTGGGTTGCTATTTTGTTGATAGTGTCCTTTTATGTACATAGTTTTTGTTTTGATAAAATCTGCTGCATGCAGCACAGCTCTTAAACTTTGGAGCTGGGGGAGTTGATGATGCAGGATGAAGAAATAAAGATAAGAGTCAGAATACAGAAAGCTAAGGGCAGGTGGAACCTGCTCTCTGATGGGAGAAAAGAACTGCCTAACCACTGCGGTGTGTTTATGTACTCGGCAGGTTGATGTCTGTGACACCCCTCTGCCTATCAACTTGCTTACTTGGCTTGTCTCCAGCTCTGTGTGTTCACTGGGTTGGAACAGCTTGCTCATGTGGATTGCCCTGAGCACTCTGTGTTCTTGGTGCTGGCCTTGCTTTAGCTCTGCACATCTGATCGATCTCCAGCTTCAGCCACTCCTCACAAAAATCTAGTTTGTCTGTTTTTTTCTTTTATTGATGTTGCATCATTTTGAAAGAATCCTTGACAAACCCATTTCATGAAGCTTTTCTTCTGTGATCCTCTAAGAGTTTTATAGTTTTAGCTCCAACATTTAGGTCTTTTTTTTTTTTTTTTTATCTATTTTGTTGTGTTTGGTCAAAATTGGGTTTTGCTATGTTAAGGTGGAATTGACATGTGTTGTGGACTAAGCTGATCTGGAGCTAAAATGATACTGCAAGTGCTGGGACTAAGTGTGCACCACCATGCCCATCTTGGTCCACTTTGAGATAATTAATGTATGAGGGCAGGTTAAGTTCCAGCTCTGTTGTTTTGCATGTGGATATTCAGTTTTCCTAACCGTATGAATTAGAAAGTCTGTCCTTTCAGTCCTGGCCTACTTTATTGTAAGCTATTAGCCAGACACTTGCGAATTTATTTCTGGCCTCTGTAGTCCATCATTGATCTGTATGTCTGTCTTTATAGAAGTGTAATGCTTCGTTACCCATTTGTAATACATTTTGGCCATTTTAGCTATTCAGTGACCTGCGAATATAAATTTTAGTTTGGATTTTTCTCTTTTCCAAAGAGAGGAAAAAATATCATTGGAGTTTGATGGAGTTTTAATTCATTTGTTGATCACTTTGGGATACTGGTATAGCCATCTTGATATTTACTAGTCCAATCCATGAATATATGTTTTTATTTTATTTTATTTTATTTTATTTTATTTTATTTTGTATTGTAAGGAAGGGTCTACAGGGTGTTCAGGGTCTTACTACCAGATCAGACTCATATTAATCCACCTGTTTGCAGCCTCCCAAGAGCTGGGATTACAGGTGTGCGCCACCACACCCAGTCTCAATTGCTGTCTCAGCATACCCTGGGGGCGGGGCCGGCATGGCAGGCCCAGGAATCCATGAATATATGATATCTTCCTATTTTTTTAATTATTCTTTAGATTTTTTGGTCTATATTTATATAGTTTTTATAGTATATATTTTTTTACTTCCTTGGTTAATTCCTTAGTATTATATTCTTTTTGATGCTATTATAGTGTATAGCAACCAATTTCAATTAAGAAAGTATGAAATTTATCATTATATCTGAGGTAGTAGTGAGAACAAAAGACATTAACGATGGATCCCACATTCAATTTTGAGGAGGCTCAGGAAAATGAAAGCAGAAAGTGTATATAACCAATCTTCAAATTATAAAATATCACGTTTGTAACACATACAATATATGTACTATGGAAACTTTCAAGCAAACTGAAATGGTCTCAGTGCAGGATCTGCAGTCTTTGCAATCTGAAGACTCCAACAATCCATGTTCTGTTTTTCTCAATTCTAATCTAGAATTCTATGGATAAAATTTACAATCTGAAAAGGTTTGGGGCTACAAAGACAGAGTGGGCTGCCCAGATAGCTCAGTGAACTAAAGCTCGTATTTAGGCAGATGCAGGGACTGGGGTTCAATACCCAGCATGCCTGGCTGGCCCTGCTCCCAGGTTGTGCTGAGAAGGCAATTGAGAGTAGGCGTGGCAGTGCATGCCTGTAATCCCAGCGTTTGGTATAATCCCAGCATTTGGGAGGCTGAAAACAGGAGAATCACTGTGACTACAATCCTGTAAACCCTGTACCATATATATATATATATATATATATATATGAAAAAGAGTATGATTTTGGCCCCAAGGAACAGGTAAATAGACCTATGGCCTATGTTCAAAAAAGATGATGCTGCCCAAAGCCTGGAAATCACAGTACTTAATCTCTTCCTTGTTAAAGGAGACAGTATCTTTTAGCTACAATTTCATGATTACATAGAAATTCAATTCTTCAGACAGTAGAAAGAGGTTAAAAATAATAATTAGGATTTTTAGAAACAAAAAAGAGGTACTTTCAGTACCTTAATAAAACGAATCAATGACCCAACTATACATATGTGATATGTTCTGCCCAGGCTGCCAGGATAAACAAATAGAAAAATTAGAAAGTAAAATATGAGATGATATTTTTAAAACTGTAGAATCAAAAGAAGAAAAGAGCTTTAGATATTGTCTCAGCTACTTTTTACTCATTGCTGGGAGAAAATACCTGACACCCCACATTAAGGAAGGGAAGGTTTATTTAGCTAACAGAGGTGGCTTTAGTCCATACTTCAGTCCATACTCAGCTGGCTCCAAGACAGAGCAGCATATTGCAGAAGGCAGCAGCTTGTGGCTGCAGAAAATGGCAAATCAAAGGGCGGAGTTGTAGTGTCTTTAATAATTCTGTTATTTCGTTAAATGTTCCCACACTGGTCAGAAAGCCCCTCCTAATGCTCTTCCAGGTAAAAGGCTTCCCTGACACACGGGCCATGCAGCTCTTTATAAATGAGGTTCTGTCCACAGAGCTTCCAAAGAGTGCCTCTTTAACATGCTGCCTTTGGTGCTGGGTAAAATTATCAGTGAGGTAGAACTGTTTCCCCCAGGAATATGGTTTTTTCCCACAGTGTTCCATGTTGCTGGGCCAAGTGCTGAGCCAAGTTCAGTTCACCAGTGAAGCCACCAGATCCAAATCTTTTGTTTGTTGATCAGTGTTTTTGATCACTGGTCTAGTGTTTCTACTATTTGTGAACATATTCAGGTTTTCTGTTTTTTCATGACCCAGCCTCAGTAGGTTTTGTATACCTGGGAATTTGCCCATTGTATATAGTCACTTTAGTACGATCTTGCAATGCTATGTGTTCTGTAGAATCAGTAGTAATTGCCCCTACTTTTACTTCTGATTTTAGTAATTTGATTATGCCATTTTTAAAAAAAAAATTTGTGATGACCTTAAAGGTCCTGTTTTGTAGAGTAGCTGCTTCCACAACCTACGCCCATCCTTTTTTCCTGTCAACAGCTCCAAGTACTGGTTCTTTCCTATGTCAGATGTGTTTTGTGCCAGTGTTGACTCCTCCCAGTAAAGGCATGAAGTGTGTATTTCATCATTTCTGTTTTGCTTTCAGGTTATTCATGTGGAGTGGAAGATGAGGTGGCACCTTCTAGGTTGGGCTTTTCTGTGGAATCGCCACAGATTGGGACTCCAAAAGAGGAGTCATCATCCCAAAATGACTGTGCTTGTGAAATTTGTGGCCTGGTTTTGAGGGATATTCTGCTCTTGGCTCAGCACCATGGAACACACTGTGGGAAAAAACCATATTCCTGTGGGAAACAATTCTACTTCACTGATAATCTTACCCAGCACCAAAGGCAGCATGTTAAAGAGGCACTCTTTGGAAGCTCTGGGGACAGAACCTCATTTATAAAGAGCTGCATGGCCCGTGTGTCAGGGAAGCCTTTTACTTGGAAGAGCGTTAGGAGGGGCTTCCTGACCAGTGTGGGATTTCCCTGTCCACAAGTCACTCACGGGGAGAAGAAATCAAGTAACTGCCAGGTGGCCTTTCACAGTGGGAAGAATCATAACTGGGGAGAATGCAAAAAAACCTTTAACCAAACAAACATACTGGTTCCAGACCAGAGAAGCCTCACCAGGAAAAGGCTTTTTGAGTGCAGCAAGTGTGGGAAAGCCTGTACACGAAGATGTAATTTGATTCAGCACCAGAAGGTCCACAGTGAAGACAGGCCTTATGAATGCAGTGAGTGTGGAAAATTCTTTACCTATCACTCCAGCTTCATTATCCATCAGAGAGTTCACACTGGAGAAAGGCCTTATGAGTGTGATCAATGTGGGAAATCCTTCAGTCAGATCTATAGTCTCAACAGCCATAGGAAAGTTCACACTGGAGAAAGGCCTTATGAGTGTGGAAAATGTGGGAAATTTTTTAGCCAAAGGTCCAACCTCATTCAACACCAGAGAGTTCACACTGGAGAAAGGCCTTATGAGTGCAGCGAGTGTGGGAAATCTTTTAGCCAAAACTTTAGCCTCATTTACCACCAGAGAGTGCACACTGGAGAGAGGCCTCATGAGTGCTGTGAGTGTGGGAAATCCTTTAGCCGAAGTTCTAGCCTCATTCACCACCGAAGACTTCACACTGGAGAGAGGCCTTATGAGTGCAGTAAGTGCGGGAAATCTTTCAAGCAAAGCTCCAGTTTCAGCTCACACCGGAAAGTCCACACAGGGGAAAGGCCTTATGTATGTGGAGAATGTGGGAAAACTTTTAGCCATAGCTCTAACCTTAGAAACCACCAGAGAGTTCACACTGGGGAAAGGCCTATTAGGTGCAAAGAATGTGGAAAATCCTTCAGCTGCAAGTCTAACCTCATTAAGCACCTGAGAGTGCACACTGGAGAAAGGCCTTATGAGTGCAGTGAATGTGGGAAGTCCTTTAGCCAAAGTTCTAGCCTCATTCTACACCAGCGAATTCACACTGGAAAAAGACCTTATCGTTGTAGTAAATGTGAGAAATCCTTCAGCTCCAAATCTATCCTTACTCAGCACCAGAGAGTTCACACTTAGCTGTGTATGGAACACACACATTCCTCATACTATTAATACGCTGGATCACCACCTCAGAGAGCCATCCGTCTGACTTGAGCCCTCAGGATCTGAAGCCACATGATGGGGAGAATTCCCTTTATTTCCAGAGCCATAGAAGCTTAAAATAGCTTGTTTAACTTTCTAACATACAAAGGCTTTTCCATTTGTCACTGTTTTGAGACAGGGAATTTCACTTCTACACTTGCAAGTCTACACACCACGCCAGTCCCTACTCCAGCATGTACAGAGGAGCTGGCCTCTGCTTCCCTTTTGTGGGATGAAATCTTGACAAGTCTGAGTTCTCATTCTTGTTCTTCTGCAAGTTAGGACATGAACTTGATCCAGGTAGTACTGATTATCCGGATAAGTGTATTTGGGCAGCTTGTCACAAAGAGCTCTTTTAACACTATTTTTTCTAGCCTCTATCACCAACATGGAAACTACCTGCTTATATTGTTTTAATTTTTATAATAAAGTCTTCATTATTTATTTCAATCTTGGAATTCTGGTCACTGTGAGATGCCTTCAGAACAGTAAAAAACTTGTGGGTGTGTGTGTGGTGCAGTTCAGATAAGTTGGTACCTCAGACAGGAGGAAGAATGTGAAAATGTAGCTGTCTTCCCTGGTTTGGCCCCTGGGCTTTGGAAGTTATGGATTGAGTGCCAGGACCTTTCGCGGGCTCAGGACAGCTTCAGCAGGCGGAAAGTTGTAACCCCCGGTGTTCCTTGAAACAGAACAAATTACTTGTAGACATTTTTTCCTTTTTTTTTACTGTTTGTTGCTTACAGAAGATACATATAGTGTCCAGCACCTTAGAAACCAGGTCTGCCCTAAGTTCTACACAAGCGTCCAGAACCCTGAGGCCCATAATTTATTAGCCTTCTCTCGCTATTATTAGAGGGACCAGAGAGACTCATAATAGGTTCAGAAACTCTAGATTAAAAGGGAGCGATGGAGACAGCAGTGAAGTACCTGCAATTTGTTTTTTGTAGAATGTTCTAGTAATTGTGGTATGTGTACAGAAATTCTCATGATATCCAGGGATGTGTATTTGCTCGATACCTGAAGTTATTATCAGGAAGAGAAATAAAATAGGCTGGAAGTCTCATGTATTCCAGTATACTTTTTGGCATGTTCCCTTTTACAGGCCAAGAACACCCCTAAAGAGAGGCCAGATGCCTCTAGCGAAGTGGCTTTGTGGGCCAGC